CCCTCCCTCCCCTATCACCCCATCCAGCAGCCGAGCCGCCCTTTGGCGTCGGTGCGGTCGCCGCGGCGTTACAAGTACCTGGTAATAAATTGAAGGGGAGGCTGGCGCTCGGGGGCAGGAGGGGGTAGGGGTTGCTATGGGCGCGGACCGTCGCGGTCCTCGGGCGCCAGGCGCCAGCCCCCTCCAGAGGAGATGACTCAAACGTCGTCGTGCCGCAGTTCGGCGAACGCGCAGCCCCGCTCACACCACCAGGGGCCGTTAACTACTGGCCAGATGACTAAAATCCATAGTAAAGTGCCGCGCACGGCGCCAGACTGGCACCGCCGCTGCCGCCCCGCGATCTGACCGGGTAGAGTGAAGGGTGTGACGCGCGTGATTCAAAGAGAGAAGGAGCGAGCGACACAGCTAGAGAGTAAAAGAGGAAGCGCGATACAGTCGCCGAAAGAGGAGTCCTTGCTGCATGTAACAAGGCGTTTGGTGTCGTGTCGACGTGGGGAGAGAGAAGGGAGTGAGGCAGGCAGGCGGGCCGTCTGCTGCAGCGGCGGGGGCGTGGCGTGGCGTGGCGCTGCACAGTGCAACAGCAGCAACAACAACAGCTGCTGCAGCGACGCGGCGAATAACTTGCGGAACACGCACCGGAATAAATCATGGTCGGGCCGATGAGTTATGTGCGCGCGGCGCGGAGGACCTGGGCTGGGCCGGCGGGGACCGGCGAGGACCTCTAACCGCCCCGGACCTGCCCCGCCCGCGCACCCGGGCGCGCCAACAGCTCGAGCTTCCGGGCCGCGCGCCCTGTGCTTCTCCTGCTCTGCACCTGAGGTGACCGTGCAGTGTTTGCAGATAGCGGCGTGTGTGCGCTGCGCCCTGGCTTTGGCCCCGCAGTATCGTCGCCAAGCATCGTCCCCCCCCTCCGGCCCCCGGCCTGCTATGGCAGTGCGCTGCCGCAGTCATAGGTCACCCGCCTGCACCGCCCGCACTGCCACCGCCACACTGGGCTGGCTGCTCGCGGCGGCTGTGTGGAGGGGAGGCAGATGAGTCCGGAGCAGGCCGCCGCCGTCCGCTGTCGTGGATATGCAACCCGAGCGCACGGGCGCACCGCCCGGTGCACGGCTGCCTACCCTGCGCCCGCGGTCCGACTGCTCCGCTCACGGCCAGCCCAATAGCACACACACACACTGGAACAAATGCGTGAAACTGGTACATAGTAGTAATGTTCAACTCTGTGGTGCACACGCGCTTAGGTGTTGGAGTGGAAATTTGAATAATTAAAACTGTTCAACAAAGAAATAGAACACGTCAAAAGTGTCCAAAGCTTCATGGCCGGCGAAACCCTGAAGTTGAACACTCTTAAAGTGTTAACTGTTTTTCTGTTTAACACTTTAGTATTCAAATAGCAGTTAAACTCGTGAAAGTGTGCATCGTATTGTTGAGCACTTGCATGTGCATGCTTGTCGCACACTTCACTTATCGGTACACACAAACAACAAACACTCGTCCCTTCATAATTATTTGCAGTTCGCACACATGTGGCCGCTGCGTATTTCGGCTGGGCGCAGCAACGGTTGTGCCACCGGAAGGAGGTGCATCGTATATTATTATTATTATTAAACGGGCTGCTTATTATTATCATCATCATTATTTCGCCGCTGCTGGTCGCCGCGCGCCCGCCCGCCCGGAATGCGGTCCTTTATTACGCACGGTAGTTAGTATCGGAACGCGCCTGGCCGGTGCGTGCGCACACACTCGCACACACACACACACCTACACAAACAGGCACACACACATACAGGCACACATACATAGACACACACACACAGAGGAGGCGCGCAGATTATAATTTTGCTCCCGTGAGTCGGGCTCACTCTGGCTGCGTGTGCCTCTGTCCTATGATGCTTTGTGTCCGCTTGCTGCTGCTGCTGCCCCATCATGGCCTATGGCTCTTGGCAGAGAGGTTTGCAGGAAGGAGGGGGGAGGGGGGACTAATAAGCACAACGGGGCAAGTCGAGTCCCTTTCCCACACACAAGTACGCAGCCAGCCAGCGATGAGGAGGAGGCACACCGCGTGAGGTATAACTACTCGCTGTCCGTGTATAGGTCGACCGCTGCCTGCTCGTCCGTGGTTGAATAAGGCATAGTAATTAGGACAAACTATGTAGGTGGGCTACCTGCGGCCGCGCCGTCCCACTGGGACGTGCAGTGCCGTTTCTGTTGCCGTGTTTGTGCATGTTTTTGTCTTTATAATTTTTTTCCGATTTTTTTTTCGTAACGATTGACGTTAACCTGCCGATATGAATATGACGTGTGACCGTGTTCTCGAGTTTGCATGATATTCGCCTCCCCCCTTTTTTACGACGTTTAATTAATTTTTGACGGTGGTGACCGCGCGGGTGGCTTGGCGCGACGTGTCGCGGCCCCCCATATATATATCGGCCCGCGGGGACCTCGCGGGGGTGGCACGCTCTGGCGCGCCTCATTGCTCCCATCGAGGCCGTCCCGGCGGTGCGCGCGCGGGCAATACTCACATCAGCATCGGGTGCAGAGGCAGAGGCCGGG